TATCTGCCACCTGTCCTGTACCTCCAGATGGACAACTGTTGGAGGGAGAACAAAAATCGTTATGTCTTAAGTTTTCTGAGTTTATTGGTCGAGAGGAAAATTTTTGAGAAGGTGAGTTATCAAATCAGGCAAAATCGTCTTATCTCTCAAAAATAATTTCAGCTGTAGACAGAGATGACTTACAGCCTAACGAGGATCAAATATTCCTCTTTTTCTCAAGACGTTCATCACCACCTTTAAGTCATGGTTTACTGACCGATGATCTCTTTAACTTTAGTTGGCTCACTATTTTGTTTTATTTTTTGCAGGCGATATTACTCTTAGTAATTGAAATGACAGCAACCCATGATTGACTATGATTCATTCAGAACTGGGGTTAACAAACTAAATCACATGTTTTACTCTTTGATAGATCAAAATATCTTTCTTAGTGGTTGGTCATGCACATGCAAAATCGATCAGATGTTTTCATTTGTAGCAAGAAGACTTGCCAAGAACGATGCCCATACGTTAGAGGCATTGAAGGACCAGATTAAAGTATCATACACCCCTTCTGTATTAGTAGAGGAATTGTTATTTGTGTTCGAGGTCAAAGCGTGGATGGAGAACTCCATGAATTACATATCAGGCCACATCCACCAAGCCGTTTTCAAAATTCAAAACGACAACGGTAACTCCAAGCTGTTTTACGAGAAGTGGTCCATCTCACCTGTCTGGCGGCCTGATGGCGGGATACGTCTCATCTCGCCCATATTAAGAGGAGGTCCCAAGCTTGTCAAACCGAACAGTCTCGATGGCATGTACCTTGACAAGCTTGAAATGGACCTCCCAAAATACGCCATGAAATTGCAAGACTCAGAAATAGTATGGTAGAGAGAGTTCATAACGAGGCTGAGGAATCGCCATGAGCAGCCACACAGGGCTAAAAAATGGGACGTGAATGCCCTGGCAAATACTGTTAGCCAAGTTGCCACAGCGCAGTCTACCTCTTCTGTGGAGTTGAGTAGACTCGTATCGAGAGAAGAAAGAGAAGTCGAGGTAACTATAACCGCTCGACGATAAGAAAGAATAAACACCCAGGGTACCTCTTGTGTGCAACAGTATGTTGCCGGATTATTAGCCAGCACGGGCCGCACAAAGATACTATAACATAACAGATTAAATCAAATTTAAATATCGAATTAATCTATATAGTAACCTGTGCCATGTTGGTCTTGACTCTTACGGACACATATTATACATCTGAGATGCAGATAACAGAATTGTGGCTTTGACAATAACGAATGTTTTTCTTAAAAATGATGTGAACATTAACAGGTTGTAATCATTACCCTCTGCTACTTTACAAACAGATCACTGTAAGCAGAAAGAGAAAAGCGGGTGAAAAAGCGGGAGAAGGACGAGCCAAAACAAAGAGGACGAAAAAATAGGCAAGCATTACTAAATTATTGGATTTGTAGCCATATTTCCTAGAATACATCGGAAGAAAATTGTAGACAATAGAGAGTTATTACATGATGCAATTTTCCGACCTATGTCATGTTAATTCCGAGAGGGGGTTGGGGGAGAAAATCCCTCTCACGGCAACATAATAGTATCCTGACGTCTATTTGTTAAATCTTCAGTGGGCTGAATCACTCTAAGTTTTTTTTTTTACTTCTGGTGGTTTAAGTAAGCTGAACTGGAAGTCAATTCAAATTAGTAGTTGTAGTAGGTGTGGACTCATCAATTCGGTCCTCAATCAAAACCTCAGCGAATGACTACAGTGGGTATTAAAATTTTATTTACTCAAAAAGAAAGATACAGGGAAAAATTAAAACTACTTTTTAAGCATAATGGCTGTTACAACTTCTTTTAAATTGCAGAACCACTACTTGCTGCGGAAAAGAATGTGGCATCAAACCAAGCATTTAGATATTTTCATTGGTTTTTGTTCGTTTGTTTTGTTTTGTTTTTTTCCTCAAATCATTTACCTCCAATTTTGAATTAAATTAACAATAAACAAAATCTTTTAAATAGTGTTTGAATGACGTTGCGTATCAAGTGCAAATTTCTCGATCAGGCCACCGGTGTGTACACTTGCTGACCACTTCCACCTAACCTATAGCCTATGTAATTCAATTGTCTTCATCAAGGAAGCAGGCTACTTGTACACTATGGCCCTGGCTGGATTGTGGTGTTATTTTACACTACCTTTATTACTATTTTAGTTAATCATAAATATTATAGCTTCACTGGCTAAAACTTTTTAATATGACATCTCAGGTATTCCTCAACTTTGAACTTCCTATCTCTTCCTGAATTTATCCTGTCAGATACAAAAAAAATGTGAATACGTGACAATAAATGACCTTATCACAAGCCACAACACTGTTAAACAAAATGTGAATACCACTCGCTTTCATGGGGCGAGAAATTTAATCGATACTTAATAGGTGGTTTACAGTCATAGTGTAATGTCTGTGTTTTTTTAACTAGAAAATATGCGCACAATGAAAACCGTTGTTTAAGACTTAAATGCAGGGTGGATTGAGTGTCTCATCTACGCTTACTGATATCACGCAACGTTGCGTGACATCGCTTGGAGACCGATGACTGATGGTAACGGAGCTTGAATCGACGCTAGGCGAATTCAAGCTATCTCAGGTGGCTATGATTCCCATTACATCTCATTTTTCCATACGGTAGACGTGGTCTCAGCAGACACAACTGAGCACACGTAGGAACGTTTCGACTTTGCCTTCTGCTTGGTAGCATATTTTTTCAA